AGCCAGTCTTGCAAGATAGAATTCGAGTCATGGTAGTGGGAGCGGGGAGGAAACCTTTAGGAACTAGAGGAAGATTGTATTTCTCATCATTGTTACATCGCACCCTGACTGGCTCATCTCCTCCCCTAGACCCCTCTGCAAGGGGATCGCTGAGCATCTTTCATGAGCTTGTTGGCCATTGAATATCTTCCTTGGTGATCAGTGGTCAAGTCCTTGTTTTATTTTTTTGACTGGCTTGTATCTTTTTGCTGTTTGGGGGCATCTTCAAAAAATGATGCGAAAAAAATAGAATTAAGAGATAGGGAACTTTTCCACCGACTTTTTGAAACCTTTGCATTTATTTTCAATGTCAGGCGCTTACTTCAAAAATCCTCTCCTAATCTTTAGATTATCTTTTTATTCTGTTAATTGTCGCTTAGATTTGGTTGATTATCACCTTTGTATCTTGCAATTATTGACTATCAGATACATGTATGTAGAAGAACAGTAGATCCTGAGGTAAATAATATTTGTATGTGCTAATAGGTAAGCATCTTATTTCTTGAGTCATTGTGTGAAGGTTGAGTTAGTCTGTCATTTAGTTGAGCTGGATTTTTGTTGCTATTGCTGGTATCTTTTCCTACTCACTCACTCACCACTCACTCACTCACTCACTCACTCACTCACTCACTCACTCACTGCCATCAAGTCGATACTGACTCATAGCGACCCTGTAGGACACAGTAAACTGCCCTTGTGAGTTTTTCAGATGGTCATTGTTGATGGGAGTGGAAGATCCCATCTTTCTCCAGAGGAGTGACTGGTGGTTTAGAACTACTGACCTTTCAGATTGCAGCCCTGGTGCCAGTTCTACTCACAGGTCCAGTTCTACTCTGACCTTCAGGGTAGCTATGAGTTAGAATTGACTTGATGGCAGTGAGTTTGGTTTACTTTAAGAACACCAAAGGCTGAATTCGAAAAGAAGTAGGCTGCTTAAGCTTAGATTAGAAGGCTTGGGTAGATTTTTCTCAAATTTTGTTTTTTGTTGAAGTTTTTTCATTAGATTTTAATTATCCCCATCTGTTTCACTAGAGGTGAGCCTCTCCATGCTCTTGCCCCTCCTCTTTCAGTAGACTACTGGTGGTGGTATTCAGTACTAGGCTGTGGTGAAGGGCAGGTTTTGTTTACCCCCATTACCCCTCATTGTCTTGGTCCAGACGTGGCTTGGGGTAAGGCCTTTTCAGTGTTTTCTTCCTATCAGCCAAAATTCAGCTTGTATCTGTAGTGTGTTGTTCCTGAGTGGAGTTTCTTGCTTTTCACTTGTAGCAATCCTCCTCATAGTATAGGTGTCCAAAGCATTCAGCAGCAATCCTGGGACGGTTTGCTAAACCTGCCTAGAGACAGAAGGGTTATGCTCCTCTTTTTTCCCCAGTAGTGGATCTTTGCCAGAACCCTTTGGATGAGAGGTTTGTTGCCCCTATCCCAGCAACTTAAGTTTTTAACTTTGTAAACTCTATGAAAGGAGGCAGGGCTTTGTTTTCTTTGGCAGAGTACCACGAACATTTTAGATATCTTGCATCATTAAAAGGTGTTAATGAGTGTTTAAAATACTATGTATGAGGGCACTTCAAAACCTGGAATAGAAAGCTAATGGATTTTTTTCCACTTTCTGAAGTGCCTTCATATATTCCACTATTATAGACTTTTGTAAAACAACACTAGAAATGGTGTGATCCAACAACTATTTTGTCTATTGTAGCATTCCTAATTTGATAACCAGAAAAGGTTAATTTGAAGGTCTCATTAAAAAAGTTTATTATTCTGTTTATATTGTATTCTACTGTACAGATACATGTAGTTTCCTGATTCTGTATAAAAGTGAGTTGTAATTTTTGGATTCCATTGACCCTGTGGCTTTTTTTCTTCAATTTCAGAATTCAATACGACACAATCTGTCACTGAATAAATGTTTCCTTAAAGTGCCTCGATCTAAGGATGACCCTGGGAAGGTAGGATTCTATTTTTTTGAAATATGAAGTAATTGGGTTCTTTGTTATGTTTGTGTCATGTTATAATATGAGCCATATTTATTACATGAGGAAGATTCAAAAAGTATGCAGAAATATCAAATTAAAAGGTAATGGACTTATTCCATGAACTTTTGAAACCCATTCATATAAAAAAGATTTTCATGAAGGGCATACAAGAGCTTGCCCATTGTATTGATCAAGAACCTTTTTGAAATACCACCTATCCTTCCATACACCAAGGAGTCCTGGTGGCACAATAGCTAACTTCTCAACTGTTCCCTGGCAGGTTGGTGGTTCGAGGCTACTCAGAAGTTCTAGGGAGAGACCTGGTGATTTGTTTACGTAGATTACAGCCTAGAAACCTCATTTTGCTTTGGCAACATTTTATTTTCTCATGCAGTATTCTCTGTTCTCTCTTAAAAATGGAAGAGGACGTTTTATTGTTGGCTTCTGTTTTTCTTTGTGTTGCCCTCCCCCCAAGTGCTAGACTACCATAAAAAAAAAAGTAACCCCACAATTTTAATTTAAAAAAATTATGTACAGAAATATGTATTCTTTGATACATAATTTGAGTTAGGTTTTGACACAGTATAACCATCACCATGCTCAAGGAAATATAATTGTTGTTAGGTGGTAGTACTAATGACCCTGTATACAACACAATAAAACACTCATCTTCTATCTTCAAAATTGTTGCTGTGTGAGAGCCCATTGGGATTCATCCATGTTGCGGGTTTCAGACTTTGTTCCACTTTATTTTTGAGTAGTAGTACCTTCAATAGATGTACCTTAGTTTAATCATTATTTGAAAGACATGTTTCTGGTAATAAATTGATTTTAGCATTTAGTTCTTGTAGGCTTTAGGTTCAATAATTGATTTGATTAATAATATTGAGATACAGTTAAATTGACTTAAACTTAATAATCATACTAAGCTGCTGTGTGAGTAGATTATATTAAATATAGGTGAGATTTTGGGTCTTGGCAGTCTATTGTGATATTTATAATAAGACCTTATTTGTCTTTAACTTAAAAACAATTTTAAAAGGATTAAGTTAGATCACTAGTGATTTAAACACAGGCTATGGCTATTACTAACTTTGGCGTACACATGGTTTTAAGTATCCTTAATATTTAGAGAAACCACTTACTATAATTAATAGGTTAATTATATATTTTAATTTATTGAGTCAATTACTTA